CTATCTCCATGAGAGTACAATTCTGGGCAGAAAACTTGTGAATAATACACATGAAAACCTGTGGCATTTCTGCATGGGTCTGCCCCTGACTGGGATGCTCAGCAGCCATGAGCCAGTGAGTCTCCATCAGACACCTGGTCCCTCAAGCCCAAACCTTTTATGAGCACTAGTACCTTCTGATGCACCAGCTCCAAATAGTTGTGAGTGAATGACAGCTGGCAACAGAAGAGTGTACTCATACTGTGACTTGGTTAAAAGACAAAAAAAAGTCCATTAATCCATTCCTGTAGTGTTTACTTGTAAAAACGGTCCTGGGTACCCACAGGAATTTCAGTAGCTTCAGCTGGCAGAATGAGAGCAGCCATGCCTTTCCTTAGCCTCTGTTTTACCTGCTTCTTCCCCTCTGAAAGGCATCTGGTGATACTTTTTAAAGCTAAGTTAAAAGGAAGGTAATGGGATACCTGTTTCTTTTTCCACACCTGGAGGCAGCCCGGAGAGCTGCTGTCATCTCCCCAGGGCCAGCTGCAGTGTGAAACCCAGACCAAGCCACCATTCCCCATGAGTGCTTGATGTGCAAAAACTGGGGGCTGCCAAGACACTTTGTTTTTGTCATTTCCACATCCAGAGCCCCAACCAGATGGCTGCAGGCCAAGCTGAGTGCTCCACAGTCTCTTAAAGTCTATAAAACTGGATTTCCCTCCCATTAAGAGGGAAAGCTCTTTCATGTTGGGTTGCTGTAAAAGTATCGGAAAAGCTAATGTTTTCTCTGCACTCCTTGTTTAACATTCTGCATAAAAAAATCCACCTGACCTCACTGAGTTTGAAAGGGGTAAGGAAAAAAAAAGTCCAAGAGCCCCCAAACCCTATGGTTTAGCCAAGCAGGCAGGATGTCCTATTTATTCTGAAGTCTAAAAGTCTGACCTTACAACCCAAGGCAAAAAAAAAATGCTGCCCTATTCTTTCCTCTGCTAGTACCTGCAAATTAGTGCTTGATAAAAAGCATGGGGACATGGAGAGGGAAAG